AACAACAAAGGCAGTTCTCCAGGAGACTGTTGGCAAGTGGACTTTACAGAATTGCCATGGCATAAGAGGCTCAGGTTGGTACTAGTAGATATTTCCTCCTTATATCCAATCTAAACTTCTCCTGTTTAAGTTTTAACCCATTACCCCTTGACCTGTCACTAGAGTCCCTAATGAAGAGTCCCTCCCCAGCATCCTTATAGGCCCCCTTCAGATACTGGAAGGCTGCCATGAGGTCTCCACTCAGCCTTCTCTTCTCCAGGCTGAACAGCCCCAACTTTCTCAGCCTGTCTTCATACGGGAGGTGCTCCAGTCCCTTCATCATCAATTTATATTAGCCTATATGTTAGTCCAGAATCTCACTCAAATACTTAATATGTCTGATTGTTTGATTTGTATATACCTCTCAAAACGCTCAGATGAGGCTATGTCATTAATAGGAATCCCCATTCCTTTCAGAACAAATTGGAATATGCTGTGGACAAACCCCAGTTATACTGATCGATACCACAGAAATCTTCAGGTTTTGAAAATTCAAACCCCAGATATTTCAGATACCATATGTGTGACTGTGAACAAAGCCCTTAATCCTGGTAATGTATCAGTAGGACATTACCCAAATTGCAGCTGAGCAATGCAACTCCAGGCTAAGAGACCCCAAACTGGCTTTTGGAATGCTTCTGAAGGGAAAGGGTGGTATTGGCTGTGTAATAATACTGCTAGAAAAGACCTTCCCCAAAAATTGACTGGAACATGTATGTTGGGTGTTGTAGTCCCAAATATTATTATAATCAAAACCCTAAAACCAGAAGAAGGATGGATAACAACCTTCCTAAAATGGATCAAGAGAACTCATAATGCTATTGCAGATAGTCCTGCAAGATTTCAGTTTTGTTAGACTGTTTCTTCCTTGGTTGGGAATAGGTAAATTAGAAAAGATGATCGTAAATATATCTGCAGTAATTAAAAACACTGAAAATAAAATTATAGATGCAATACAGGCATTACTGGTTGAGGTATCCGGCCTATCCCAGGTGACACTGCAAAACCATATGGCCCTTGACTTGCTATTAGCTTCCCAAGGAGGCATTTGTACAGATTTGGCAAAAATTTGGGAATAGACAAAAGTCTTGCACCAAGTCACTAGAGACAATACCTCATGGGGTTTTGAAGAGTTATGGTACAAACTTACATCTTGGCTACCAAATTTGACACGGTTAAAGAATTTGTTTATAATAATTATAATGCTAGTTTGTGTTTGTACCCTAGCATGCATCATGATTCAGTGTTATATTTGCTGATCACAATGGTGTTACAGAATTAAATATAGGAAAATAATATGAAGTGAGACTTATAGGATACACATATATCCCCCCTCACAGGGGGGAATTGTAAGCTAAAATGCTAAGTTGTAAATTAAAACCACTCTGTTAATTGTAAACAAGATGTTAGGTTGTAAATTGGGACTGCTTTATTGAGAGTAAGATCGGCTGGTGTGGCCTTGGGGTATGTATAAAACAAGGGTAGCCTTTGAAGATAAGGAAGGAGTAACCAAGACAGATGGGGCCACTCCTTCAAGATAAGGAACAAATCAGAACAAACTGACCTAAAACACAGACACAGTTGTTAAGTAATTCACAAGAGTCTTGCACATGGGCAAGCACAGACACAGTGAGGATGACTATTGGCGACCACCAGAGACCCGTTGAGACCACCACTTAGCAAGAAAGCACATGCATAATTAAAATGCAAATATTGCAATTAGCTCCAGGAAATCTAGTGAATTTGTAAAGAATTTTCCCAGAAAGGTTGTAAATATGCATAAGTTCATTGGATACATGGATGCTGCTTGTAGACTACAGATGCGCTCACTTTTGCAAAATGATTCGTATGTGCACCCAGTGCTGCAATAAGGACTGCCTTCTTTCTAAAACTCCAAATCAAGTCTTAGTGAGGGACATCTCACACTAAACCATGTCATCCAAGGCTCTGTCCAACCTGGCCTTGAACACCGCCAAGGATGGAGCATTCACAACTTCCCTGGGCAACCCATTCCAGTGCCTCACCACCCTTACAGTAAAGAATTTCTTCCTTATATCCAATCTAAACTTCCCCTGTTTAAGTTTTAACCTGTTATCCCTTGACCTATCACTACAGTCCCTAATGAAGAGCCCATCTCCAGCATTCTTGTAGGCACCCTTCAGATACTGGAAGGCTGCCATGAGGTCTCCACTCAGCCTTCTCCAGGCTGAACAGCCCCAACTTTCTCAGGCTGTCTTCATATGGGAGGTGCTCCAGTCCCCTGATCATCCTCGTGGCCCTCCTCTGGACTTGTTCCAACAGTTCCATGTCCTTTTTATGTTGAGGACACCAGAACTGTACACAGTACTCCAGGTGAGGTCTCACCAGAGTAGAGGGGCAGGATCACCTTCCTCGACCTGCTGGTCACAGTCCTTTCAATGCAGCCCAGGATACAGCTGGCTTTCTGGGCTGCGAATGCACACTGCTGGCTCATGTTAAGAATCCCCTTGAGGTACATACTGGGCTTCCCCATCGTTCAGCATTACCCACCAAGTACACCCAGATCCTTCTCAACAGAAATTCCATGGGTGGTTTTGCCTTTGCCTGAGGCTTTGGTTTCCATCTGCTTTAGCAGTCTTTTAGGACAGGAAAAATGGTGTGTGGTATTGGATTGTTGTATGGTTTATGTACATTGGACTTTGTCTGGATCTGTGGGTAACTGTGTGTGGTTCAAGTTATAATAAATCATCTCTAGCAAAACTAATTCCTTCAGGTACTGGGATACATCTCTCTTCTGTAGTACGCCTGCCTGGGTAACGTATGTCATCTTCCTTGAAGGGACACCTTTCCTTGACAGGAGTCTCCTCCAGAGGCTGAGGGCTTATGTCCCTCTCCCAATCACCTTGTCAATGCCCCCTTCCCTAGCAACTGATCCCAGCTGCTTGGCTTTCCTACCATCTAATTCCAGGCTACTAGCTCCATTATGTCAACATCGGAGCAGCCAGGTGATCACATGCTCACCTGGGTGATGGCTGAAATCTTTTCATCTATCCTGCAGCTCACTCAGAGACAGGTATCGAGAGGTTACCTCATGTTCTGCCTCTTCCTCTGTTTCTTCTGCTGGCCCTGCTTCTTCCTGTTTCACTATACAAGCTATCATTCACATCCATTTCTTCTGTACAGGGGAGACTGATAACAGCACGGTTTGGTTCTCTGGTTCAGCTGCAGTGCCTGTTGTGGGGATTGGAGTATTTGCAGTGCATGTCGTCAAGGTTGGAGTAGACTCACAGCTGCTGCATAGCATTTTTTACCCTTTCTTAAACATGTTATCACAGAAGCACCACCAACTTCTCTGACTGGTTCAGCCTTGGGAAGTGATGTGTCCATTTTGGAGTTGGGTAAAGCTGTCTCTGTCTAACATGAGTGCAGTTCCTGATCTCACAGAAGTCAGCTCTGTAGTCTGCCTCTCCACTGCCAAAACCTTGCCACATAAAGCCGATACGGGGTCCGAAAAGGGCTAACAGGCTGTTGTGGTTTAATCCCAGTAGGCATCTTAACAACACACAGCTGCTCACTCACTCTAATCTTGTCTTGTCTCATTTCTTGTTTTGCCCCTCCCCTCCCCTCCTCTCCCTGATGGGAGAGTGAAGATGAGGGAGCAAGACTCAGTGGTGCTCATTAACTGAACTAGAGGCAGTGGGCACAAATAGAAAAAAGGAATTTCCATCTGAATGCTTGAAATCACTTTTTTACCTTGAAGGTTAGTCAAGGACTGTTCCAGGTTGTCCAAAGATGTAGAGTCTCTATCCTTGTAGATATTAAGAACCCACGGCCCTGAGCAACCTGCCTCTAGGTGACCCTCTTGAGCAGAGGGGTTGGATGAGATGATCTCAGGAGGTCCATTCCAACCTAAATGAATTTATAGTCCAACTCAGTAAACCAGAGGAAGGACAGCTTTGAAGAATGGGTAGTTATTTATAAGCTGATGGGAGGACTTTTACTTGTTTCTGGTTTTTATGAGTTGTTCCTGAAATCATATAAATAAGAAAAGTTTCTGTTTATTTACACTAGTAAATAAGATAATTTGAGTGCAAGTAAGGTAAGAGAAAACTGAATATTTCAGTACATAAGGATTTGAAACATCTCAGGAAGAAAATTTCTTTCTGGTATTGTATATTTTACGCATTGTGTTCTTACAGTACACTTTATTCAGTGTATGTTAGTTCTTTCTGAAAGCTGACAATATTGGAGGAAATTTAATTTACTTGTGTTGTGATTACTATAGAAATTAGTCTTTTAGTTCTTTAGAATTGTGATGAGTTGGTGTGAAACATTTCCAGCATTCAGTTTAATTGCATTGATTATTGCAAGTCTTTTTCTGAAGGTATGCTTAATTAAGAAGTAAATATTTATATGTGCAGATTCTAACATTAATTATTTTTGTGTATATAGCTAGCTTAAAGTATGTTGTCTTAATATGGTATAAGGTTTTGAGTCTTCTCCCAAAATTTGACAGTTGCAGCTAATGTGTGCAAGTATAGTTAGAGAAGAATCAGACCTGTAAATGGATTTTTTCCTAGTTCTTTGCCTCAAAGCAGTAAGTAGGTTTGTGTGCACCTTTCTTCCAGCTTGATAAATATATTTGCTGTTACAAAGCATACTGTAACTGTTAGAAAAAAATTCATGAAGTCCAAAGCTTATAGTATTCTCTTGAAATGCTGCAAACACTAAGCACACCTTAGATTAGACAAAGCAATAATATATAATATGAATTTTCTAATATTTTAGGCCAAAGCAACATTTTAAGAAAGGAAAAATAAATCTCCATGTACTAGTATGTGAAACAATCTTTAGCCAATCCCCAGATTGGATTTGGGGTGAATATTCATTCTTCTTTTAAGATATGAATAAAGATAAGTGCCAAAAAAAAAAACAAAGACGTTTGTGCTGAACTTTTAATTTTATATTTTAATTTTATTCAGAGACCACGATGCAGACATCAGAGGCTGGGTCGGACACAGGTTCGACTGTGACTTTACAGGCATCTGTGGCTGGCCAGGCAGCAGTGCCCACACAGGTAGTACAGCAGGTACCGGTTCAGCAACAGGTAGGTGTCTATTAATTCTGGGAAAACAAAAAAACCCTGGCAAGACAGAATGATGCATTTCAACAGGTGTACTGAAAAACTGATTTTTTACAAGGCTGCAAAAGCAACTCCTTTTCACTGTTTTACTCAATTTTATTTTGCTGGAACTAAAAGCTACATAAGCAGACATGTATTTTTCAGAGTTTATTTCTTGAACTAGAATATCTGGCAATCACCAGAAATACATATTCATGATTCTAAAAGTAGATTACTATGGAATGTGTGCTATAGCTCATTAAAAATATATTCATTTAATTTATTGAATATTTATAATTATTCATTTGAAAGGTTGATAAGGAATATGGAATTTTTTGAAATAAATACCATATAGATGTAAAATACAGAAGCAGTGTCATTTTGTACTTCTAAGCTGGGCTTCCTGAAGGTTCTTGCACAACTAGAGAAAGGTATTTGAAATAAAACCATATGTAACACATAATTTGGATTTGCCAGAGAATTAAAGGGGCTTCTGAAGCAGACAGCTCAGCACACACTTCTGTGACATGATTAATCACCTATGCAGCCCCACCAGCATTAAAGGGAGTGGTGTGTGGGGAGATTGAGAAGGGAAGTGGAGTTGGAAAACAGGAACTGAATGTGAAAAGCCATGACTTTTGTCCAAGACTCCTTTAGTATGTATAATTTAGGTTAGTTTTTTTGGGTTTTGTTTAATTATTTGTTCCAGTTGGAAGGGACCTACAACGATCATTACTCCAACTGTCTGACCACTTCAGGGCTGACCAAAAGTTAAAGCATATTATTAAGGGCATGTCATGGTTTAAACCCAGCTGGTAACTCAGCACCATGTAGCTGCTTGTTTACACCCCCTTTTCCCCACTCCCCAGGCAGGATGGGGAGGAGAATTGAAATACTGTGAACCCCACAGGTTGAGATAAGAACAGTGTAATAACCAAAGTACAATATGATACTCCTACTACTAGTAATAATAATGATAAGGGAAATAACAAGGGGAGAGAATATAAAACTAAAAGGGGAAAGGAAAAAAAAACCAATAAACATAAATGATGCACAATACAATTGCTCACTACCCGCTGATACCCGCCCAACCCAAGCAGCGATCTGTCCCTTCCAGGTAACTCCTTAACCAGGGTAAGTGCTACTTAGCAACACCTAATCCATTGGTGTGTTATCAGCATTATTCTCAGACTAAAAAAAAACACAGCACTGCACCAGCTACTAGGAAGAAAATTAACACTATCTCAGCCAAACCCAGGACAGGGCATTGTCCAAATACCTCTTAAACGCTGACAGGAATGGGGCACTGACCACCTCTCTAGGAAGTCTGTTCTAGAGCTTGACCACCCTCTCAGTAAAGAAATGCTTCCTAATACGTAGTCTGAACCTCCCCTGAGGTCTCCCACTCATCCTATCACAGGATACCGGGGAGAAGAGAACAGCACTTTCCCCTCCACTTCCCCTCCCTTCAGCTGTCAGTTTATTAGGTTCTTTAGGTGAAATCTGATGTTCTTTTTCAACATAAGTTGGTGTTACAGTTTTAGAATCAATATTAAAACTAAGAATAACTTGTTAAATTATGTAAGTCTGTTTCTGTGCTAGTCAATCACTGCTGCTTAAACTATAATTTCTAGCATTTTGTTTAGTTTTAAAATTTAAGGTGATGATTCTTCCTGAATGTTACTTGCAGTGCTATTTTACTGCCTCATACATTTCAGTAATAATTTTTCCTGGTATACAAACTCAATTCATAATGTCTCGTAATTGCATTAATATAACTTATGTTATAATGTAACTTGGAACTTATTTGGGTTTTTTTTTGCCCTTTTTTTTTTTAAACAAACTGCTCACCCCCAAGAAACCCACCCCAGTGTTTCAGCAAAACATTTAAACATTGGGCACTTAACAAGAATTTAAATGCTTATCTTTGGGTACTTGCTCAAAGTTCATCCCTACTAAGTTAATAATTGGTGGAAATCACAGGATCACAAAATCATAGGTTGGAAGGGACCTCTGGGGGTCATCTTGTCCAACCCCCTGTTCAAGCAGGGCCAGAGCTGGTTGTCCAGGAACATGTCCAGATGATTTTTGAATATTAACAAAGGAGGAGACTGCACAACCTCTCTGGGCACCCCCTTCCAGTGCTCAGTCACTGTCACAGTAAAAAAATGTTTTCTGATTTTCAGATGGAACCTTCTGTGTTTCAGTTTTGTGCCCATTGCCTCTGGTCCTGTCACTGGGCACCACTGAAAAGAGCCTGGATCCATCTTCTATGTGCCTTCCCTTTAGGTATTTATATACATTGATGAGATCCCCCCTGCCCTAAGCCTTTGCTTCTCCAGGCTAAACAGTCCCAGTTCTCTCAGCCTTTCCTTGTAGGACAGATGCTCCAATCCCATCTTTATGGCCCATCATTGAACTCTCTCCAGTGTGTCCATGTCTCTCTTGTACTGGGGAACCCAGAACTGGACACAGGACTCTAGGTGCACAGTACTCAACTGGCACTGAATAAAGGGGAAGGGTCACCTACCTGGACCTACTGGCAATACTTTGCCTAATGCAGCCCAGGATACCATTATCCCTCTTTGTGGCAAGGGCATACTGCTGTCTCATGTTGAACTTGGTGTCCACCAGGAACCCCAGGTCCTTTTCTGCAAAGCTGCTTTCCAGCTGACTGCTCCCCTTGGCATGTACCGGTGCATGGGGTTGCTCCTCCCTGGGCACAGTACTTGGCACTCTTCCTTGTTGAAGTAAATGAAGTTCCTGCCAGCTCATTTCTATAGCTTGATATCTCTCTGAATGTTTTTCTCCAAAAGAGTTTTTATAGAATACTTTTTCTGTCAGTTTCTAGGCCCCGCCAGAATAGCAGAAAAGGGGTGTTTCTACCACATGCCCATGATCAAAAGCCGTAGGGGAGTCTGTTAAAATTTGTAGTCAGTACCTTTTTGTCATAAACCACCTTCTGTGTCTTCTGCAGAGGCCTGGTTTCTGTTGCCCATTTCTGTTTATCCCTGGCAATAGAGCACTTCTCTGTCACAGTCTTTCTAGGGTCATTGCTTTCTGGATTTGTGCTGTAATCCAACACAAGATGCCTCAGTGCCTCAAAATTGATCTTTTATCTGTTTGCTGCATTTAGAGTGATGTTGTTAGCCTTTAAACAAGATTTTCCTCCAGACTGCAGGTAGCACGACCCCCAGGTCCTTATCTGCAAAGTTGTTTTCTAGCTGGTCGGCAGACTGTACTGGTGCATGGGGTTGTTCTTTCTCTGCGCAGGATTTGTTACTTCTCCTTTTTGAATTTCATGAGGTTCCTGTCAGCCCATTTCTACAGCCTTTTGAGGTCCCTCTGGATGGCAGCACAACCCTGTGATGTATCAGCCACTCTTTCCAGTTTGGTGCCATCAGAAAATGGCTAGGGGTGCACTCTGCCCCATCATCCAGATCATTGATAAAGATGTTGAACAGGACTGGACCCAGTATTGGCCCCTGGGGTACACCACTAGTCACTGGCCTCCAACTAGACTTTTTTGCCACTGAAAAGCTTTTGCTGAATTAGAACTTTTATATAGATCTCTACCTTAAATCTTTATTACAGAAGCACAGAATGGTTAAGGTTGAAAAGAACTACTGGAGATCATCTCCCCTGCTCAAGCAGGGTCACCTAGAGCTGGTTTCCCAGGAACATGTCCAGATGGCTTTTGAATATCTCCAAGGGAGGAGACTACACAGCGCCTCTGGGCAGCCCCTTCCAGTGCTCAGTCACTGTCAGTAAAAAAGTGTTTCCTGGTTTTTAGACAGAACTTTCTGTGTTTCAGTTTGTGCCCATTGCCTCTTGACCTGTCACTGGTCACCACTGAAAAAAGCCTGGCTTCATCTTCTTTGCACCTTCCCTTCGGGTATTTGTACACATGAGATCCTCCTCTTAGCCTCTGGGCTAAACAGCCCCAAGTTTATCGGCCAACTAGACTTTGTGCCACTGGTCACCACTGTCTGGGCCCAGCCGTTCAGCTAGTTTTCAATCTAAAAATTTGAAAGAATGTTGTTAATGAAAAACTAAAATCTTCTTCTGAGTGTAGTGGCAGTAGCTTCACAGGTGTTTTCAAGCAACACAGCAATTGTCAGTTTTGGCAATGATGAAGGGAGAAACCTATACATGTACAAGTACTTGTAGTAGTAGTACTAAGGCCAAAAAGCGAGGAGCATAATTAAATGCCATTTAACATCCTGTGGATTTTTTTTCTTAGTCTTGTTTCCTCAAATATGATTTTACACTCATGTATCATTCCTGTTTTAACATGCACTCATAAGCATGAGGCAGCAAGCTTATAAAGATTTTAAATTCATCTCAATGATCTTATGGTTTACTTCATGCAAAACAGAATAATTTGAAGAGGAAAATTAAAATCAAGTGTCTAATCAATTTTAGAAGGTATATCCATGCATCAAATTTTCCTATTCATCATAGACTATGACCATAGCATTCAGAAATAATTGTATCATTAGAATGGACATACATATTTTTGCCAATCAAAATTGGAGCTTAATGCAAAATCAGATTTAACATATGAAAAACAGTCATGAACTTATATTGGTCATTTATCTAAATATCAACATTGCAGCATGCGCTGCTTTCTAAAAATATTCCAGACTAATTAATGTATTAACATTTATTTATTTTTTTTTTTAGGCACTGTATTTGATTATATTTTTTTTTAATTTTAAATGGGGTTTATGAATCCTTATTTATTTTACCCTGGTATTTTTCTCTTGACCTTATTAGTACTTTTAATGCACTTTTATCTAAAATCAGAATTCTGTACATAGTTTTATCTTGCCTTAATGATGAGATTTATTTTTTAAATTTGGGAAATTATAGTTCAGGAACACTGTTAAGGGATGGTAGGCCAATGTCAGTTTATGTAATGGTTCACATAGGAAATCAGAAAACTGCTGTTTTTTCTATTTAACCATCAAAAAGAGTACTTCTGATTACTGCTGACTGATGGAAACATCTGTTTTCTGTCACACCTGAGCAGTCTTATTCAAAGTAATGTGGGTTTTTGTTTGTTAGGGTTTGTTTGGTTTTGTTTTTTTTTTTCAGAATTAAGGCTTTCATATAAATTTTCACTTAGGTGTTGTGGTTTAACCCCAGCCGGCATCTAAGCACCACACAGCCACTTACTCCCCCCCCCCCCCCCCCCCCCCCAATGGGATGGGGGAGAGACTCAGAAGGGCAAAAGTGAGAAAAATAATGAGTTGAGATAAAAACAATTTAATAAATAAAAAAGTAATAATATTTAATGAATTGTAAGGAAAAGAAGAAAAGACCCCAAACAAACACCCAAGAGAGAGAAAAATGAAACCCCAACTGACCATTGCCCAGCTAGTCCCTGAGGAGCATCCCCCCTGCCAACCTCCCCCTGAGTTTTATTGCTGGGCATGATGTCATATGGTATGAAATATCCCTTTGGTCAGTTGGGGTCATCTGTCCCAACTGTGTCCCCTTCCAACTTCTTGTGTATCCCTAGCCTACTTGCTGGCAGGGCGGTGTGAGAAGCTGAAAAACCCTTGACACTGTGCAAGCACCGCTCAGTACTAACTAAAACATCCCTGTTTCCAGCACTGATCCAAAAATTAAATGCTTTAAATTATATGAGTTAATGGTAGAAAAGGACGATTAGGAATTTTATAGAGTGTAGTGAGGATGATGAAGGTTTTCTAACTAAAATGTTCTTAAAGAGCTCTTGTAGATGATGCATTACATGCATGAGAACCAGACTCTTCTAAGATTAAACTGAATTATTTCTTTTATGAACTACTCTGACAGGTCAAAGTTTGCCTGTTAACAGCAAATGTAACTTGTGGTTTAGATGCTTGTGTTCTATAGAGTTAAACTGAAGTAAAAAAAAATAAAAATAAACAAAACCTACCACCACCACCAAGGAAAAAACAACAAACAGAAAAGCAGCATTTAGATGACTAAATGAAGTTTTCTTCTTTACTAAATATTGTTCTTAAGCTTTGCATGAAGCATATAGTTCTTGTGCTTTCCAGATGGTTCTGTCTTTGGCATTGAAAATACCCATACTCTCAAGAGCATGCATCTCCAGTGTTACTACTCCATGTAGCATATTACAGACTTACAGCACAATATTACATTTTGTGTTATTTAGCAATTGTGAGAACAGGGATGTCCATGACTAGGAGTATTGTTTAGAAACCATTAAATGCACTGAAGCACTAGTCATTCTTTTTATAAGGTAAACTGTCCTATATTTCTGGTGGTTTTCTTTACAGGTACAGCAAGTACAGACTGTGCAACAGGTACAGCATGTCTATCCAGCCCAGGTTCAGTATGTAGAGGGAAGTGACACAGTCTACACAAATGGAACTATGTAAGTAAGTTGGTTATTGATCAAAATTAGAATGGTTACTAAATTATGAAGTTAAATGTGCATTCTTTTAATAACATCATATGGGCTACTGTATTTTAAGTAGCAAAGAAAAATGAAGAAAAACATTTTTTTGTCATTTTAAATCATTATTTGGGTGAAAACAAGTTGAATTCACATCACAATCTAAAATGAATTCAGGTAATTGTTAGATGGACATAGTGTGAAGCTATATAAGCAGCATTTTGTTGCTTATGGGCAAGTTTTAATTTATGCTGATAGAAAGGATTATCTAAACTTGTCATAACATGATCATCTGTGTAATAAGTCTTCATGTGGGCCCCCTATTCTAGTTAAAATTCTACTGGCAATTTCTTAAATCACTGAGGCAGCTGCAGTCATTGCTTACAACAAAAAAAAAAAAAGTAATTTTTTTATTGTGTTTAGTGCAATGAGATGCATATTTAATTTTTTTCCAAAGGAAGGGAGAGAAACAAAAATATGTTAATTCAGTTTTCTCTTAGACTCTTCTTTTCTTGCTTTGATGAACATATTTTTCTGCCATCAAGTTCCTTTCTCCCTTGTGAAAACTTAAAATCATAGAATAATTTAGGTCAAAAGAGACCTCTGGAGGTTATATGGTATAACATGTACATACTCAGAGTAGGACCTTCCCTCTCTCTTTTTCCAGTACCTCTAAATATATCCCCTTGACACTTTTGATGTGTTATAAGGTTAATGAAGAAGCGAAAAACATATAGAAGACTTGTTTGGTGCCAGCAAACATGTATTTATTGATGATAATCTGGCATTGACACAAAAAAGTCAATACCACCATTGGGTTCAGACTGATGTTAACACTTGCAGCATCCTCTTCACTGGTATATTTTGCCAAATTCATTCTTCAGTTAACCTTTTCCCACACACTCTCTTGTTGCCTGATTTTCTTTGCTCTTATAATATCTAATCAATATCTTTTGTCCTAAACAGGTCTATTAAGACATGGTTATTATTAAGAATGACCAATGCATCCTTTTTTAAGATACTGAAAAACTGAAAGTCACTCATAACATTGTTAAACTGTAATCAAAGACTGAAAACTTGTATGTAGAATAAATTATCAGGCTAACTTGTTTTCGGAAAATGTCAGCTAAAGACGTTGAACTGTTGAGACAAAAGAAAACAAATTTCTTCTTTCTTGTGTAATATTTTCTTTTAAAAGCTCTAGTACTTTTACTCTTTCAATTATGGACTTGAAAGTGAGCAGTGATGTTGGGAGTGTGTGGTTTATTGCAGTTCATGAAATTTTGCCTGACTTTATAGCTCAAATATATTAAACAGAGAATTATGTTTGGTTTACTCTATATGTTAAATGCACCAAAGACCAGTGGATGTGCTCCAGATGATCCTAAATGGGGCATCTCCTTTCAGCTGCTGCTTCTGTTATTAATTATATCAATTCTGTGTTCTGGTACCTAACCTATGAACAAAGAAAGAACCCTATTCTATTCCATATACAGGGCCTAGGATATATGGTTAAAGCTATCTTATTAAAGCAGAGAAAGAATCAAGTACTAAACCTGTGGTGGGAATGGAAAATGTTTCATGACTATTAACACTCTCCTTTTATGGCTATATGTTAGCCTGATTCTAACACAACCCTCAAGCCCTCCTAAAAGATCACGTGAAAATAGTAATTAGGGCCAGTCAGTGAGGAGGAAAGGCAAACATGAGGTGGCTGGTTAAGAAGACTGGGACTGTGATCCAGTAAGCAGGAAAGGGTTCTCGTCTTAGATAAAGAGCTGGTGAAAGTGACTATAAAGACAAGAGCCAAGAACCAGTGGGTGAAAAAAAGAATGGTGGCAGACATACAAATCAGGTTAGATAAAAGGAAAAAGTTCTTTACTGTGAGGGTGGTGAGGCACTGGAATGGATTGCCCAAAGAAGTGATAAATGCTCCATTCCTGGCAGTGTTCAAGGCCAGGTTAGACAGAGCCTTGGGTAACATGGTCTAGTGTGAGGAGTCCCTGCCCATGGCAAGGGGGGTTGGAACGAGATGATCTTAAGGTCCTTTCCAACCCTAACCACTCTATGATTCTATGATACTAACAAAGACCCAAAATGCATGGTTGTCTTGGAAAAGGAACTTTAAAAAACAAACCAAAATAAAAACACTGAATGGATACACATCTCAGAAAAGTTGTCTACATGCAAATGATGATTTTACAGATGATAGGATTTTCCTGATATAACTGCTAACTATTTCATTTGTAGAGAGTACCTTAAAAGGAGATGGAAGGAGGAACTGACTGACACAGTATAACTTATAGTGCTATTTCATCCACCAGTAAACTTCATTTTAGTATCATGAATAATTTACCATAGAAAAATTTAGGTTGTAAGGGATCTCAGAGGTGATCTAGTCCAACCCTCTGCTCAAAGCAGGTCTAATTAGAACAGGTTGCTCAGGGACATGTCCCATTGAGTTGTGTTTACCTCCAAGGATAGAGGTTCCACACCCTTTCTGGGCAACCTATTCCTGTATTTGACCACCCTCATAGAAAAAAAAGTATTTTCCTAATATCTAATCAGAACTTCCCATATTACAGCTTGTGTTCATTGCCTCCTGTCCTATTGCTGTGCACCTCTGAGAAGTGTCTGGTTCTATCTTCTCTGTCTCCTCCCATGGTTTGTACAGAACAAAAATGTATCCCCTTAACCTCTTCTCCAAGCTGAACAGTCCTAGATCTCTCAGCCTATGTCACGTTCTCCAGCCCCCTGACCATCTTCGTTGCCCTCTGCTGGACTCGCTTCAGTATGTCCATGTCTCTCTTGTACCAGGGAGCCTCAAACTGAGCACAGGACTCCAGATACAGTCTTCCCTGGGCTAAGCAGAGGATAAGGATCACTTAGAATCATAGAATAGTTAGGGTTGGAAAGGACCTTAAGATCATCTAGTTCCAACCCACCTGCCATGGGCAGGGACACCTCGCGCTAAATCATATCACCCAAGGCCTCATCCAACCTGGTCTTAAACACTGCCAGGGATGGAGCATTCACAACTTCCCTGGGCAACCCATTCCAGTGCCTCACCACCCTAACAGGAAAGAATTTCCTTCTTATGTCCAATCTAAACTTCCCCTGTTTAAGTTTTAACCCCTTACCCCTTGTCCTATCTCTACAGTCTCTAATGAAGAGTCCATCTCCAGCATCCCTATAGGCCCCCTTCAGATACTGGAAGGCTGCTATGAGGTCTCCACGCAGCCTTCTCTTCTCCAGGCTGAACAGCCCCAACTTCCTCAGCCTGTCTTCATACGGGAGGCGCTCCAGTCCCCTGATCATCCTCGTGGCCCTCCCTTGGACTAGTTCCAACAGTTCCATGTCCTTTTTATGTTGAGGACACCAGAACTGCACACAATACTCCAGGTGAGGTCTCACAAGAGCAGAGTAGAGGGGCAGGATCACCTCCTTCGACCTGCTGATCACCCTCCTTTTGATGCAGCCCAGGATATGGTTGGCTTTCTGGGCTGCAAGTGCACACTGCCAGCCCATGTTCATTTTCTCATCAACCAGCACCCCCAAGTCCTTCTCTACAGGGGGGCTGCTCTGAATCTCTTCTTTGCCCAACCTGTAGCTGTGCCTGGGATTGCTCCAACCCAGGTGTAGGACATTGCACTGGGCATGGTTAAACTTCATGAGGTTGGCATCAGCCCACCTCACAAGTGTGTTGAGGTCCGTCTGGATGGCATTCCTTCCCTCCAGGGTATCAACCAAACCACACAGCTTGGTGTCATCGGCAAACTTGCTGAGGGTGCACTCAAACCCACTGTCCATGTCAGTAACGAAGAAGTTAAACAAGACCGGTCCCAACACCGATCCCTGAGGGACACCACTTGTTACTGGTCTCCAGCCGGACATTGAGCCATTGACCACAACTCTTTGTGTGCGGCCATCCAGCCAGTTCTTTATCCACCAAGTGGTCCATCCATCAAATTGATGTCTCTCCAGTTTAGAGACAAGGATGTCGTGTGAGACAGTGTTGAACACTTTACACCAGTCCAGGTAGATTACATCAAGTGCTCTACCTCTGCCCATCAGTTCTGTAGCCCCATCATAGAAGGCCACCAAATTGGTCAGGCAGGATTTCCCCTTAGTGAAGCCATGCTGGCTGTGACCAACCGCCTTGTTGATTTTCATGTGCTTTAGCATGCCGTCCAGGAGAATCTGCTCCAAGATTTTGCCAGGCACAGAGGTGAGACTGACTGGTCTGTAATTCCCCGGGGCATCTGTTTTCCCCTTCTTGAAAATGGGGCTTATATTTCCCTTTTTCCAGTCATCAGGAACTTCACCTGACTGCCATGATTTTTCAAATATGATGGCCAGCAGCTTAGCAACTTCATTTGCCAGCTCCTTCAGGACCTGCGGATGGATCTCATCAGGACCCATGGACTTGTGCACGTTCAGATTTTTAACATGGTCTCGAGCCAATTCCTCTCCTACAGTGGGCACAAGGTCTTCATTCTCACAGTCCCTGCATCTGCCTTCCAAGACTTGGGTGGTGCAGTCAGAGCATTTGCCAGTGAAGACCGTGGCAAAGAAGTCATTCAGAACCTCAGCCTTCTCCAAATCCTGTGTAGCCAGTTCTCCTGAGAGCTTCCTGAGGGGGCCTACATTCTCCCTAGTCTGTTTTTTATTTGCTATGTACTTGTAGAATCCCTTCCTGTTATCCTTAATATCCCTTGCCAAGTTTAATTCTAACTGGGCCTTAGCTTTCCTAACCTAACCTGGTCCCTAGCTTCCCAGACAACATCCCTGTACTCTTCCTATGCCGCCTGTCCTTGCTTCCACTTTTTATAAGCCTCTTTTTTTCATCTGAATTTTCCTCAGGAGCTCCTTATCCATCCAAGGAGGTCTCCTGGCCCTCCTGCTGCACTACCTTCTGGTTGGGATGCAACACTCCTGAGCTTATAGCAGGTGATCCTTGAGTATCAACCAACAGTCTT